TTAGGTTATTTGTTGTGTTATTATTATTGGGCTCGATTTCCGCTCCTCTTTCGAGTCTAGTCCTTAAGTCCAGTCCACGTTCTCTCCAACAGGTGCCCAGGCTCCTTTCGCACGGACAACGGCGCGTAATCAGCGGCTGGTAATCGAGCCTTTCTTGGACTCCAGTTTTCATTTTTCGCTTCTCCTTCTCTGGCCAAACTGCTCTCGATACACCAGAACAGTCCTCCTTTGATCTCATTTTTGACAAAATATTTTCCCATCCAAAGACAGACTTCTCCTCTTTCGAAACAACATGGCGTCCACTAATTTGTCGTATACTGGTCACAAGGCGTCCTCACACTCACAGCCTAGCTCGTGACTCATCGACCTCGCTCAGCGCATTGTCCATTCTTCTTTTCCCGGAATAACGAATTGAACACAACCCCCTATATAACAATCTCTAGACGCAAATAAAAATAACATAGTTAGTCCCAGTCAGGTGCACGGCTGTTGAGTAGCACCCTCATTATGAAATTTTCTTGATAAAAGACGCTGATTATCAACGTCTGACTACATTTACGTCCGCGGCGCGTATGTTGCTTATATTAATTATGCACTGGTGAAAACCAACCTTGACTATAATAATAATAATATTCCATTAATGGTGAGTGTTTTTTCCCAGGACGCGACATTGTTGAGGTTATGTATTCAGAAAAAAAAGGTATGATGCGGCATTCCTTTCCATCCAAGCATGTTTCTTGCACCCAAGAATGAATTTGAATCCGGTATAAAAATAAGTGTCATATGATCATGACACGCCCAGTTTGGCGTTGGTCGCAGTTTTACAGCTGGGAAGGAAAACCGGCATGTTTCTCGACGTGCCTTACTTCAGTTAAGTCTATATTTTCTTTCTTTACTTACCTATCTAATTTAACAATTAGATTATGAGCTCGAGATTTCTATCGTGCGTTTGCGCCCTCGTCAACTATCACGCATAGAAAACGAGAGTGGATAATCTAATTGTTTTAGTATAAATCTACTAGTCGTTCAAAACTTTATCTAAGTCTTCTTCACAGACACTTCAAAAACGCCAAAAACGGCCGTCATTTTGTTAACAAGGGCACGTGACTGCTACGCTACTCACTATCTATCACAGAA